CCTCAATACCAAGTAAACAGAAACTTCATTTAAAAAACAAACAAACAAACAAAAAAAACACTAAACTCCATTGACAAAAGCAAACTTCATTTCAAGTAACCCATCACTGAATACCACATGCCTGCTCATCCAGACACTATATCATGCAGGAAAATGATTCTGTGACACTTTTCTCAAAACCTCAGTGCTCTCCAGAACAGGTTTTCCCTGCCTGCCCACACACTTTGTAGGAGAATAGATAATGAGGAACAGAACATTTTAAATGGAAGAGTAAAACTGCTACTTTCCCAAATTTATGTATAATAACCTCTGTTATAAGATTCAGTTGTAAGGATCTGGATTTTCAAATTAAAATTTAAAAACAAAAAAGTACTTTACTCTTTTCAATCATCATAGATGATATAATGTTACCATAGATTACATCTACTGTTGAAGCTTTTATTCTCTTACAGTCAAGTGTAATAAAATGAAAAAAAATAAGACCTATTCTAATTTCTGTATAAGTTTTCTGTTAGAACCAAAATGATATCTGCCTGAAGTTTAGCCTGAACTTCAAAGTTAGGCTTATCTGTGTCAGAAACTACAAGAAAGGTATGAAGATTCTTTTCCCCAATAGGTATTACCTGAATATTGATAGATTTTATAATTACATTATGATTATATATTTCATCTGTCTGGAGTACAAGATAAAGAAATTTATCTGAAAAATACCTGGTCTTCATATTCTAACATTTCTAAAATGAGAAATAATCTATTACAGCTATCTATATAGGACAGCACTAGCATGCAGTGAAAAGAAACTGCTTAGTACAGGTTTTAAAAAAACAGAATTACTGGAATTCAACGTCCATCTCTTAAAAGTGCCTGAGAGTATGTTTAATATTGAATTAAATAATGGAGAAATATGTACATTTTATTTACTTTTTTCAATGAATTATCATTAATATACAAAAAAATACAATAAAATACAGAGAGCAGAATGAGAAACACAGTATCTACTATGTTGCTGTCATGACGGACATTTTAATTGGCTCACAAGTGTAAGAGGACTGCAGTATGTTTAGACTTAATTTCCACATGTACAATACAGCCACTACAGCAAGTCTTTTTTTCTACATCTGGGAATTAGTTTATAGCATTGCAACTGTTGCTCATCTGGTCCTCTGCTGTCTTTGCTATGAACATGCATCATGACAGAGGAACTGTGGCTGAACAAAACAGCTAGCAGATATTATTGTAGTCCCACTAGGTATACTAGCTGAGAACATATCTCTGTGAGCAGAGAGCAGCCCAAACAAATGTGTTTAGGTCTACAGCTAAATAAAATAAGAATTGCAAAGTATGAATGTTTCTTATGTAGAGAAGAATAAAGCAGTAGGGGAAAGGGACATGAGGTACAAGAACACATGCAAACAATATTTCCAGATGCCCTTGCTCAAGGACTGCTCTTTTGCAATGCAGCTGTCGGGGCACAGTAAAGGCCATCTACATTACTGCTGGTTGGGACTTCTCCATGTTCTTTTTCTATCTAAAGATTACAATTCATTAGAACATACACAAATATATATATTTGTTCTTGTGAAAACTATTAATTTTCAAGAACACTCTTGTTTGAACCTTTTTGCAGATAAAGCCATCACAGAGTATGCCAAATCAGTACAACAAACTTGACTGTACTTTTGCTTAGACAAAATATGAGAGCATAGAATTTATGCATTTATGGTCAACTGATAATAATTTGTATAATTTTGAACAACCACCAGACAGGCTGTAACCTCTCCAAGGATACAGAGCACAGAGAGCACCATCCTTGAAGATGCTTCACATACAGGACTGACTTTCCCCACCTTCTCCCTCTTGAGGGATTATCAAGAACAAAAAAAAAAACCAAAAACAAAACAAAAAAGCAGTCTCCTATATCCCTTGAGATGCTGAGTCATCCTTTATAGAAACTTCATTCTTTCTCTCAACCAAGCAGCCAGACCCTAGCCCAATATGTGAGTATTCTCACAAAATTTGCAGTTGCAACAAAAGCAAAGAAGATACTGATTTTACCTAAGACACAAGAATAAAACATTTTGTTTTGATTTTAAATTACAGGTGGGTTTCATAACTGCTGATTTACTCCAGCGCACTGGCATCGCATCAGTATTACTATGATAATAAGGAAGCTTTTTCTTTTTTTCTTTCCCTATCCTATTTTTAACTCAATACAGTTTAACATGATGTAGAAAATAAAACAGACTTCCAACCCCTGAAATCTTTCTGAAACCAGAGTTCTAGTTCCCTAGCCAGCCCTCATCCACATGGAGGCCAAATGCTTTTGTCATATTATTAATTCAGTCTTCACAAGAAATTGTGGTTCTCTTGTTAGAGGAACTCTGCTATGAAATGCAGTGCCAGGAAATCTGACAAGTGCCCTCCCTCCTAGTACGATATTTTGGAGAGGAAGCACAGAGCAGAAGGCAGACTGTGGGCTTAGAGGGATGGTTTGCATAACACATTTCTTTGTGGTGTGGTTGGAAGGAGGAGAAAGCTGGAACATTTCAACAAAGTTTCTGTCTCTTGTAGCCTATAAAGGACAAGGACAAACAACAAAAATAGACAAACTCACGTCCTCACTTCCCTGACTTCTACTGTCTTCAAGCAAAGTCTACCTGCAAATTCTAGTAGATCATACACTATGGACAGTGTTGAGGGACATATATAGGAAAAGTTTGGGGGATACAATAAAAGCAAATTTTTAATGAGTGTTCAGTTTCATACATTGTTTTAAACCATATTCAAGTATATTAATGGATTATCTTTAATATTTCTTTCAGCTTTCAGATAAGTACATCAGTTGTCATATGGCTACTGTGAACACGAGCACCAGCTCTTGGGAAGATGATTGAAGCCCTAATAAATTTGAAACCGGCTTCAATTAGTACACAGGAAATTTACTTTGTGAGCCATGACTTCTTTTATTAGTGCCCTGGAGGGCAATTTAGATTGGGGAAATAAATAAATAAATAAATAAAATCAGGAGATCATTGTTTGCCAAAAAAAGAAAACAGATACTTAGCCTTCATCCATAGTCTGGGATGCAGCCATGAAAACAAGACTAAAATATTACTGAATATAAAAAAAAAAAATTTATCTTTATACATTGAGGTCAAGCATAGTTTCAGGGTGCTGGAAATGATATACATCCCTTCCTGAAGCATGCTGTTAGCATGGAATTTTGCCACTTGCTGTTTTTACTTTTAAATGAACCCTAAGTAAAATCCTTATTTTGCATTTCTAATAGGTACAATTAAAATATGGGAACAGGTGCTCAAGAAAGCTGGAGTCTCCCTAAAATTATCTATATTTACAACTGAATTTTCCACTGGATTACATCATACACATTTTCTATTTTCCTTCTCTTATTGCTCATATTCTCAGCTAGCTAGGAAGAAAAAATAAGTTGCATCAAAGGCATAGGATACAGAGAAATAGGTAAAGAATCTTGCCAATGCAAAATCTCTTCTAATAATATGCACAGCAAGATGAGCTTTTATGATCACCAAATTTTTTTCTGCCAACTGTCTGGTCAGTAAGGTGAAAAGCATGACACACTAAATGAATCAACTCTTAATATTTCTTTCCCTAAAATAAACAAGCATCAACTACACAAGTGTTCTTTGTGTGTTAACCTGCCTTGACCTCATTCACCTCAATAAGGGCCTCTTGCCGCGCGGTCTATAGTTTTTCAATATTTTTTAATCATAGCCACGCCAGTGTCTTTCACACTTCAGCAAGTTCCTTCAAATGATGCCAACCTCAGTTAGATTCAGCAGCAGTAGACCATAGCTTGAACAGCAAGGGCTAAATTGCCATAACTATTTGTTGGCTGTGCAAAGGAGCGAGAAGTCTCTCCTTTTTTACCCCCACACCATGACTAATGGTAGGGGAAAAGGATAGAAATATGAGAAGATCCTGGTGCACCTTCAGTAAGTGAAAAAATCCTCAAAAAAGGAGCTGAAGTGCTTCAGTCTTTTCATCCAAGCATTTACGGAAGGCTGCAACTCCAAATAAATATGCATATAATCTACCTTTAGGTTTCATTTGCACAGTGAGTGCACTGCAATTAGGTAAAAGAGGCTGCTCTAGAAAACATTTCAGAGTATCTAAATAAAACCATTACTCAGAGCCTGCCTTTGTGAGAAGAACTTTTAGGAATAGTGATTACAAGTACTTCAAAATTCATACAAGTAGAAATTACCACATAATTGGCCATCATTCCTCTAACAATGGGAACATTAAAAATTCCAGAGGTACTCAGTAATGAATCTCTGGGTATATGCAGGTTTTGTGAGTGTATTAAAAGTCTTTCCCATTTGAAGTTTCCATCATCAAAGTTTTTGCTTCTCACATTAATCACTGGGGCAATATCTGAGGTTTTTATACCGGAACCTATTTCAGACATGCAAGTATCCATTAAAGAGCTAAGCTCGACAGGGCAAACTCTTCAAAATATTTGATTCTTCTGAACAGAAAAACTACCAGGCACAAAAACAGCTTTTTCACTGTGACAGCAGTTATAATCCAGAGCTATCTTATTGCTCTGTCACATGCCCTGGCCATATCCTGACCACGAGGCAGGAGTATCACAATCATGAAATAACTTGCAGGAAGGAGGGACAGTGACTTTTCCATCAATTGAAATTCTCCAAAGAAAAACAACATATGCAAAGACAATCCTGACCTGCTAGTTCTGACCCCGATAAGCAAGCATGACATTATCAGGTCATGAATGGGATCAGAACTGTAGAGTACAGGACTGATAGCACCTACACTTTTATATATGGTGTCCATCAAATCAGCTACATTTTGATAGCAAGTTAATCAACACTAACATTAAAAACCTGTGACTAAATTTCAACACAGAATGCATGAAATTTAATTATGTTTAAAACAAACAAACAAAAAAAAACAACAAAACCCATCCATATTAAAAATAATAATATTAATCTTACCTCACACAACAAGAAGTGTTTAAATGTCAGAGTAAATTTGTCCACTTTGGTTGATGCCTCCTTTGATACTCCTAAGGGAAATTAATTTTAAATTTGAAAAATAGAATTAATTTACAGATAAAACATAAATATTTGCCTACACAATTTAAAAATAAATGAGAACATAATCAAGTACCAGAGCATAGCTTTAAGGTATTCAAAGCCTTGACTATATAACAACGAACATTCTAAATTCAGTATGATTTGGGAAAGCGCGTGGCAGGAGGCTTGTGATGAAACACAGTTGTATTGCTCTTGTATAAAATATCAGTCTTTTTTGCTATAATGAAACAAAGTCATCTCAGTTTGCAAATGCAGTTTGTTAAGGTTGTTCATTAATAGAAAAAAGAAAAAGGCCCTCCACATGCATCAATTTTATTGGAATGAAGTTACAACTCTTTATAAAGGCAATCCTAGCCATAAGACACTGAACCAAATTAGTTTCAATTTTTGGAACATTATAGCATGGTTTTCCTTTGGCCCACTCAGTTAATCTTGCATAGGAAAAGGAGAAGGAGGGCAGAAATGGCTACGTGGATGGGGGACATGTAATATGAATAACATACAGCACAGGTGTGGAATATTGCATGTATAACCGTATGGCAAAAAGCAGCAAGTAAAAGCATATGCCAAGGAACCTGATCTGACATTAGCTAGAGTGCTGTAACACAGATGTCAGGTTGCCTATGCCTAGGAGCTAAACAGAACTATGCTTGCTTCGGCCTCACAGGTATACTCAGATGCAGATGTGGGCATTCACAAAGCCTAATGCAGCCAAGGAACATTAATTAGAAAGTCAAGTTCATGGTGAAGTAGCTCAGAGCATCTAACTTTAAACTTCAGCTCCAAAAGAACCTCACTCCCTTCACTGGATAAACTAAGATAATTCAATTTCCTACACTAACTTCAGACTGTGTGAATTCACCCTTCTCCATCTACCACACTCTTTTTGTTTTTAACTCTCCATTTTCTTTTCCTGAAAAGTTGCTAGAAAACTATTTAAGTCTTTATACAATTCATTAAGGAGAACCTAAATGGACCTTCCAGGCACCAGTGCATAATTTCTGCTGGCAGTATAACCAACTTGCCACTGTCTGATGTATATCACATGAGTACAGCCATCCCGGACTGCACTGTCCTGCACTGGGACCTTGAGAGCACTCTGCATCAAGGTGTGCTAAAGAGTGGAGGGGTTGGAGAGATAAAGAGAAAAAGCTGTGTACAGACTTTTTATTGCTCTCTGTATGGAATTCATCCTTGAAAAATGAAGTCCAAATGGAACTAAAACCCGTTTTGGTCTACAGTTGGTTCATTTTACCAAACATCTTAAATTGAAAATCTCTGAAACACAAGTTAACACTTGACAGTTAACACTTAAATTTCTTATGTCAGATGCTAAGGGATCCTACAGATTTAGGGGATACATTTCATGTTTCTATACGTTCTTGCACAATGCCTAACATTCCTTGGCAAATCAGTTAGTAACATTCCCACCTAAAATTATGCTACATTGTGTTTGCTACGTATGAGTACAGCTAAGGTAAAGAAACAAGTTTCTATATTTGAATAATGACTTAGAATTCTATTGAAGTGTTCAGTCCTTGTAAATGTAATTGATGCAGGATGAACTATGCTAAGTCATTTTTCAAAATAAGAAAGAGGTAAATGAGATTAAATTTCTTTTCTTATAGAAAGATACTACAAAGCATTTGCTGAAACATAGTCTAGTACTTCGTTTTAAAGAGATGCCAGACAAAACCCCATTCAGTGGAAGAAACCAGTGTCGTGAACCCACCCACATCACCTGTTAAACAGAAGCCACCATGCACAATTAAACTAATTAATTCTCATGAAAATCTGAACAAAACACAGGGAAGTAGTTGGAAAGCATTTTCATCATTTCAGTGGAAGCAAGACCCAAACTAGGTACAAACCTACTGAATCTAATCATCATGTCTGCAAAGGCTGACATAAACCATAATAAAAGCAGAGATAAAATTAATAAGAAATTACAGATTCTGTGTTTTCTTAATCCTAAACAATTATTCGGAAAGATAACAAAGTGTTCTAAGTATATCAAACAGGCTTAGGGTTCCAACGAGTCCGAAATCACTATACAAGCCCTGTGAATATCCTGCTAGTCCAGTACTCTCTGGACAGTAAATAAAATTAATAAAATTGAGTTTAGAACACTAGATCCAAAGTTTCTCTATTTCTTGTAATGTTTATTCATATCATTAACCATAGGCGATAATACACAACAGCTGAAGAAACTATCTTCTTCTTAGTCATAAAAAAAGAAGTGATATTAAAATATTGTTATCATTATATTTCTGTTAAATGTCTATCAGCACTTACCCGAGATACAGCAACAGCTGTATTTCTGCAGTTTTGTCATCTGGACAGAACAGCATTCAGCATCTGTCACAAAGTTTCTAATTAAAACTGTGTTAAAGAGGTTAAGCTTTTTAGGATCAGACATGGAAAAGATCCAGAACTGATTTCTAAGCTATAAAAACATAAATTAAATGAATTAATGTCAAATTGTTTTTTTTTGTTTGTTTGTTTGTTTTATGTAAACTAACTTTCTAGCATCAGAGCAAATAAACTAGGAAAAGAGGGAGAAAATAAATAAATAAAAGGCTTTGAGATTCTCAAGAGGGGCATCAGAAGTTTAAGCACCCAGAATTATTAATCTCTTCTGAAATTCCTACTGCAGGTGCAAGAGTTTTTTTTCTTACGCACATGAAGCCCATTCCAAAACTTTGCAGTCACATGTAGAATGACCACTGATTTAAAATGTTTTTGTTGGTCTGTGTCCTTAAGCAAGAAGATACGTGTACTTCTTTCAAACATTTTCCTCAAGCAAAGGTTTTATGGTTTAGAGTAACTTGAAGACCACCTGACTGACCAAAAAACTCACCCACATGCATATATATGCTAACTTTTCCTACTCATAAGTTCCTCATTGCTCATTCTTGTAGACTACTTCTGTTACCTCAGAACCAATCACAGAAGCCAAACTACCTCCTGATGTTTTCTTTTTACAGCAGAGGTTTCTCAGATCTTTATAGGTACCATTTGACCCCTTTCCAGCTGGCTCTGATAACTGAACATGGGCAGCTGAGTCCAGAACTACCTTCTTGCTCCCTGAAAAACTGCTATTGAAAGGTACTGACCACCTTGTTAAATGTTCTATGAATAAAACAAAGTAGGAAAAACTGCTCATTTTATTATTTCTTACAAGAAAAATGAAAGGAAGGGTGAAGACAGGGACTGTTTGTGGATATTACTGCATTTGCTTCAAAGTCCAATTTAGAAATAAAATCGTGAACAATGAGCTTTTGTAGCCTCATGGAAATTTTAAATTAAGCAGATACTTCACATATACTTTACAACATTTGGTTTGTCTGTAGAAAGTTCTATGATGTAAATTCTGTGTTCTATGATGAAGCGAATGAAGTGTTAGTTTGGGGGGCTATTAATTGGTCCTACACAGACTTGAAAGAAATTCAGATTCAACAACTCTTCATGCATCCATATTTAAAGCTTTTTTTTTTTTTTAATACACCATGCTCATTATGTGTCATATACAATACATGGTTAAAAAAAAGTCATAATAATAAGGTAAGAAAAGATCCCATGAATGCACACTGTCTGAACTGCTAAGCTTAAGAGGACAGAGGATTGGAAGGAGGACTTATATCTCCTTGGGGTAAAGATGTCCATATCCATGCGTAAGAGATTATTCTTTTACGTCATTTTCTCAAAACTTGCTGGGGACACAGATGAACAAGTCCAAGCAAGTCCTGGGCAAGGGTTGTGAAATCCTTTGTCTGAAGGACACAGATGGATAAGGCCAGGGGCAACAAGAGAGAGAGATAAGCTGCAGATTAATGGCCAGGAAGCAGTCTTTTGTGTGGGCTTATCTCAAGGAAGATGGCCATCTCAGGAGGTTCTGCATATGACTCTTACCCAAGCATCCAGGAATGCCATGATGGTAGAAGAAGAAGGATAAAAAGGGGATCTACAATCATGAAGTTTATGTTTTTTGGCAACAGATTTCTCGTGAAGAAGAAGTTTCTTACATGAGAAGCCTCATAACCTGCCTTTCTTCTTCCTGGACTTGCTCTGTGCTCTACCTGCATGCTGAAGAAGAATAAAGGTGTCTGCCATCAGATTCCTCACTACGGAATTCCTGCATGCTGATGGGCTGTCCTGGGCCTGAAACCTGAGTCCTGCTGCTTCCTCCTGGACTGGCTCTGCAACTTCTTCCTGCTACCTGCTTGCTGCCCAAGGCCTGCCACGCTGCTGCTGCTCTCCCCCTGTGCTTTTGCCCAAACCTTTGAAATAGCGTGCAACGGGATTGCTGCTGGATCCTGGTGGTGACTATCCCCACTTTATGCAATTCTTGCTTCTTTCCTATTGCCCTCCTTCCCTTCCCCATCACCCTAATTCATAACAGTCGCCATCCTTCTCTTCCCCGTCTCCCTGATTAGGGTTTATAATAAACTGGTTGGACCAACATTTGAACCGTTGTTTCTTAATCTCACACCAGGTGTACATATATTTAAAAGAACCTCCTCTCCCTCCTATAAATTGGAGCAAGACACCATGCCACCAGCTGGGAGTGGCTTTCTGAGCTGATATGGAGAAGTGAGAGAAGGAAGACTTATCTGTTTGTTGCTTGGGCAGGTCTTCTTGACAAAAGCAGAGAGCAAACACAGAAAGCAGCAGAAAAGGCGGTAGTTCCAGGTAACCTAGGAACCCCAGTATTGACTGAGGAAAGATACAGTGGGTGGGGAGAAGATTTCAAATGATCTTATTTAATTTCCTTCACTGAAGATCTCTGAGCTTGCTCTGGTCTGGGTCATGAGGTTTTGGAAATTATTATTTTTTAATCACCATTCTAAGAAATTGTTTAGACAGGTTCATCCCAAAACTCTGTCGTACTGGAGTCCTATCATAGCATCTCATCAAATATACGAAGCTAGATATATGAATGAATAAATTTTCAGGAAGATATTTGACATTGACATTAAATGTCAATATTTCCATAAATAGTCCCAAGTGGTAATGTTTGGCCTTGCCCCATCGCTAGGACTGTTTGTCACAAAGCCTTGAGATAGGTGGAAGCAGGATTTAAATGCTATGTCAAACGCATTTTTGCGTTTAGCAGAGATAAATGTTGTCCTAGACATAATAATTTTATGAGCAATACAATCTGATAGAACAATATCCTTTTAGTGGCTATGGTATAAGTGGTATAAGTTATTGTAAATATCTTTTTTATTACCTAAATCATTTCCAAAGTAGCATTTGTGAAAATGCAGCTTTTCAAAATTAGGCTCACAGACAGGCAAAGCTTCTGCTTGCGTTTGGATAAAGTACATGCAATTCTCATAAATAGGATTAAATTGTCTCCAGTTGTCACTAACATTCTCAGAAGCTATATTAAACTGATTATTGTGTGTGTGTGCGCATGAACTTTTGAAACACCACCAGCAGAGAAAGAGAGTAGAGACATTTCACTCTCTTTGAAATTAGTGGTGAAAATGAACACAGGAATTTTCAGAACTGGCCTTATTAATGAAAGCCTTTACTGTCTGGTATGTATAAGGGCAAACATATTATTTGCAATTAAAAACAGCTTTAGAAAAGTGATGGGGAAAGCCTAATGGGTGGTTTCTAGGGATAAAAAACAACCCAAAAAAACAAACAGATTTTTACATTCTGGCTGAATTCAAATGACAGGTACACAGTGGCTACCTTTGGGGACCAAAGGTCTGAGAGCAAGATGCCATGTTTGAGTCCAATGAGGCCTTTATTTTATCCTCTTCATGTTGTTGTGCGGAAATACCAAAGGTTTCCCAAACCCACTCCAAGGTGAACATAATTAGTTTTGCTCCCTATACTGTCTGAAACAGGACTACAACGATAATGGAGAATAATTGAGATTCTTGTATCAGCAGAAACTAGACTGACTGTAATGGGGTTTTGAAATTTCTTTTATCCTTGAGCAGAGGTCTTCAATATATTTGATATTAAATCATTCTGGCATTAGCAGCATTATACTTGATCATTTTAGTACTTTGCAATATCTGGTATCCTTCATCTGATCCATATTTTTAAACTCTTTGCCTTATACTTTCTATTGTCTATGAGCTGTTGTTTTGACTATATTGTTCCTAAATAGATATTTATTAATTTATTATTTATTTATTAAACCATTTTAGTAGGTTTTAAGATGGCAAGATTAAGTTTTCAGATATGTGGAAGAGAAATTGTGCCATACATAACACATTCATCTTGTTATCCAAGTATTCACTTCACTCTGAATACCCCAGCAAATAATGGAATTTGGAGGAAGAAAAACAGTAAAAAATTTCTGCTAGTGCATAATACAGATTTTAACAGAATAGATAGTAGTTTCTGATCAGGTATCTTCAATAAGTCCTATTTAAGTCTTTTAAAATTTGTTTTATTCCATTATTAGTATTCTGTTTTGATCTCTTTTGGTTTATGCCTTCAAAATAAAATTGTGTGGAGTAGCTACGTTTCTTCTGTATGCAAATTGCTTATGACATTTCTGATTACCCTGTGCTAAATCTTCCAGGATGAATTACAGAGATGCAGTAGCAGATAAAATTGTAGTTTAACATAATGTAATGCTGAGGTATTTGACTTGTAGCAAAAGCAATGAATGAATCCATCCCCCTTTGCCTCCTACTCTTGTTAAACTTCCTCCAGTCTCATCTAGACATTGCATAAACATCACTGCATAATTTTGGCATGACTGTAAAATTACTAATAGAGTACTCTGTTCTCACTGTTGCAAGACCTTCCTTTTTATTATTAAGTCAGTTTTCCTGCAGATAGATGTCACAGGACATGCAATTTCCTTATGCAAAGGTCATTAAATGTGACAAATACATAAGCACAGTTTGCTTCCTCCCCAAGGCAGCGATTCAGAAATTTTACAGGAGTCTCTTATGCAATAATCCTCAGCAGCTAGTTTGACAGGTCCAGCCATCACTAGTGGCATAACTGGATTTGGTGAGATATACCTTCAAAAGTCATTAATTACAAATGTGTAAGCAAAGACTAACAGTGATGAAAAGACCATATTCATTGAAGGACTTAAAGTAGTTGGCTTTTTTTAATTCAGTGAAATATTCTGCTACCATGCATCCTGGCATTGCAGAAATGCTAACTACTGATCAATAAAAGATGTTTCAGTCATATTATTAACTCTTATTGAAATGTAGTAAAAAATAAAGATCCAGACCACTTGAATACCTCAAGTAATAACTACCTTCATCATAGAAACTTGAAATCAGCGGAGATCTTGTCACAGATTTCTGTGCAAATGTTTCAAGAGCTTCAGGTGTTACTGTGCTCATAAACACATCATTTGGACGTAA